TACTAATGTTAATAATATCTAATTAAAATAAATATAATGCTAATTTTCACAATATATAATAACGATAATAAACTTTATAACATAAATAACGATGTAATATAAATAACGATGTTATAGCAATAATAACAATAACAATAATAACAATAATAATAATAATAATAATAATAATAATAATAATAATAATAACAATAATAACAACAATATTAGTATTAGTAATAATAAAAGTTAAAAGTAGTTATCATTAGTAAATATTAGTAAAAATAACAAAATAACAATAATAAATAAAAAATATAGAATAGAAATTGTAAAAAAAATATATATATATATATATATATATATATATATATATATATATATATATATATATTACGACAACAAAAATAGATTATAGAAATTATAAACATTACTTATTTTTTATTTATATTTTTTAAATAAAAAGTAGAATAAACTGGTTTTAAAGATTGAGAATGAATTGAGAGCTTTTAGTTCATAAGGAAGGTTGTTCCAAGTTTTAGTGCTTTGATATTTTATGGATCTATGCCCGTAATTATGCGAGCGGTGTTTAGAGACAGACAGGTTTAAATTACTATCGGAACAAAGGTGAAATTGTTGGCACTTTTGGAAAAGAAATTAATGAAAGTTAAAGGTAGGTTATTGTGTTGGTGGTTTCAGACAAATTGACAGTTTAAAAGTTGAATATAGTCACATAGTTTTAATACTTTAGAAGTTAGGTAGAGCACATTAGAGTTAAATTTAATATTCTGAAAATAAATAATTTTTAAAGCCTTGTTTTGGAGGTAGGATAACCTAATAAGAACTTGCTGATGGGACTGCCCCCATACTTGGCATGCATATCTAAGATGTGAGCCAAAAATAGCATGGTATATGTTCAAGAGTGTCTCAAAATTAACATAAAGGCAAATTTTGGCCAACATATCATTAGATCTACTTAGTTTCATTGCTAAGTCTTTACAGTGGGATAAAAAAGAAAGATTTGAATAGATTTTTATACCAAGATATTTAATTGAGTTAACAGGTTCAATTTTTTTGCCACTTAATCTAAAGTTCATATGTTTATAGATTTTTGTTTTATCTGACTTAAAGATAATGAGTTCAGTTTTATTAGAGTTTAAAAAAAGTTTGTTGGAGCAAAGCCACTGAACTAGATTGGCAAGATCATGGTTAATGTGTTTGTTAATTTTTTTAAGGGATTTATTAATTAGTATTGGATTAGTATCATCAGCAAACTGGTAAACAGTAGCAAACTTAATGGATGTATGAAGATCATTAATATAAAGAAGAAAAAGCAGTGGTCCTAATACTGAACCCTGAGGAACACCATTAGAACATTTTACAAGGGTAGATTTTGAGCCATTGATAGAAACAAATTGTGTTATATTGTTTAAATATGTAGTGAACCATTTAAGCAGTACGCCTCTGATCCCATAATATTCTAATTTTTTTAAAAAAATTGAATGATCCACTGTGTCAAACGCTTTATGTAAATCGACAAATACACCACATGCAAAACATTTATCATCAAGTGCTTTTCTAATTAGTCATTTCAATGAGAGTATGAGTTGTGGAGTGATTGGCACGAAATCCATACTGATGGGTGTAAAAGCATTTAAAATTTTCAAGAAAAGAATATAGCCTAATATGCATTGCCTTCTCAAAGAGTCTACCTATATTAGAAAGCAGAGAGATGGGTCGGTAATTAATGAAATCTAAAAGAGAGCCTTTTTTAAATATTGGAATAATTTTGGCAACTTTAAAAATATCTGGGAAAATACCACTTTTAAATGAGTTATTTATAACAGTACAGAGAGGCTTTGAAATAATGTGTGAGACTAGTTTGAGGAGAAATGTAGGTACGCTATTAGGACCAAGACTTTTTTTCTGTTTAAAGCGTGTTTGTAGTTGAGACCAGATATTTCATTTTCAGTTACTGGATTAATAAAAAACGAATTAGCATTTGGAATGTTTAGAAAGTCACTAAATATGCATTTAGGGGGTATGGCTTTGCTAAGTAGTTTGTTGTCTATAGTGCTAAAGTAATTATTAAATATATTAGATACGGTGATAAGATTTTTGTTCAATTTAAATTTAAAAAATGTATTGTGTGTAGAATAATATTAATGATTTCTTTTATTCCCTTCCAGGTGTTTTTAATATTGTTCAGATTATTGTTAAAATAAGTAATAAAGTAAAAATGTTTTTTTGCTAAATTTTAATAAATTAGAAATTTTGTTTCTATAAAATTTAAATTTTGAAAATAATTCATTTTTCTTATAAATATTTTTTGATTTTATAAACTTTTTATAAAGTTTGTTTTTAACTGAAATAGATTTAAGTATTCCATACGTAATCCAAGGTTTTGATTTTAGTTTAATTTGTTGGTTGGTTAGTATTTTATAAGGAGCATGTCGGTCTAAGATTTCATCAAATGTTTTTAAAATAAAATTCAAGGATTTATTATTTTCGTTACTTAACTTTTCAAGTAGAGGAGTTAAGTGGGAAGAAGTAAACTCATGTTGATTCATTGAGGGATGAAAATAAATGCAACCAATTATTATATTTGATTCAAATATAATAATTGGTATTAAAATTTCAACAAAAATAGACTCTAAATGTTTTGAAGAGTAAATCATAAGATCATTGCGAACGATGTAGTTTAAATTTGAGCGTAAGTATAAAAATGCTCCACCTTCTTTAGCCTCAGTAGGATAATGCTCAATATTAAACCCGTTTATGTATATATCAGTTATATTTGTATCGTTTATATATAAATTAGATTCTGTAATACCTATTGCTAAGGGAAAAATATTAGGAGAGCTGATAAGACTACAGAGATCGTCAATATGGAATGGTAGAGAAGCGATGTTAAGATGAATATATAGTTCTGAATTGGGAAGCATAGTTTTATTGAGATCAACAACGTCATAGTATTTGCAATTAACAGAACTGGGAAATTTATTTAGATTATAAAGATATTTTTATGATTACTTGGAGTCTCAAAAGAATAAAATGAACTAGTAGATATATTTTTGCATAATAATGTTGACTTAAGCTCCAAGTTGGAAATCGAGCTAAAGGCTCGATTTCCATACTCTTGGATAAACAGCTATGACAATACAAATCCCACGAGTCATTCAAAAGAAGGCAGAGAGACTTAAATGCCATAATCTTTAGAAAAAAAAAATATATATATATGTATATACAGTATTAACTAGTTAAAGTGACTAAAGTGTGAAATAGAGATTTAAATTAAAAAAAAAAAAATGCAAAGTAGAAGACTAAATTTATTAAATTAAAAATTGGGTAACTGTTGGTGTAACACTAAAGAAAGCTAAAAGCTAACAGTTATAAAATTAAACAATCAAAAAAACTTTGACAAACCACAAACTAATATTAACAGTAACTAAGACAACTAAAGATATCAAATATAAAAAAAAACTAATAATACTTTAATAATATCTATATTATATTAATAATATATACTAATAATAATATAACTACTGTTAACTGCTACCAATAATAATATTGTTAACAAAGATACTAAAATAATAGTAAGTAAAAATAAGTCAATAATAAATAAGTTTATAAAAATATAATATTAAATATATATGTAATAAATAAAATAAGTAGGTATCAAACAAGGACTAAAAATAAATACAATTAACTATAAAAAAAATAATATAATGTGAGAAAACAGATAATAATATAATGACTGAAAAATAATAATAACTAATGAATTAAAAATAATAATAGCTAATGAATATAATCATGATTACAAGTTATATCGTAAAGAAAAAATAATTATTAAAAAAAAAAAAAAAAAAAAACCAATCTTCGAGCTCTACATTTACTTATTCTTCTTTCTTTTTAAATTGATTATTTAATTCTTCTAATCTTTTCTTTCTTTTTATTTGTTACTTTACTTTACTTTCGTTCTTTTGTTTACCTTTTTTTTTTGTATTTGTTTTTTTTTTTGATTAAGTTTATGAAGTGTTTTTTTTTTTTTTCTTCTCAATTCGAAGTTCTTTTTTTATTTTTTTTACGTATAGTTTTTTCCTTTTTGAATGATTTTTTGTGCGCGTGTTTGCTTCAAGTTAATTTATATGATCGTTGATGAGTTATTTGTGGTTATAAAATAAATAAATTTTTATGTGTAGTTTGGTTTTTTCTATATTATTTATCTTCAATTTTCTCTTTTTCTGTTATAAAAACGCATCCACCATTTGCAAAGACCTTGCAACACTTCATATTATAGACTGATTTCTTTTTGCAACTTTATATGCAGTTTGAAAGTGATAAAGACTTTTACCTTTTTAGCTTCTGTGACTCTTTAATGTCCAGCTTGATGTCCAGCAGGTTCTTTATAATAAAAAAATTTATTTTGCAGCAAACTTAGCTATTTATTTCTATCTTTGCCCCATAAGATACTTTGTTATAGGTCTATTTAGATATTGTAATTTCTATGTTGGCATCTTTACCAAGTTTTTCCTACTTTTGTCTAAAGCAGAGCTATTTTTTTTTTACTTTTTTCTAGCAACTTAGTCATAGTTAATGAATATAAACCTGACATTGTTACTTTGATTTGATAACTAACAAATGACATTGTTTTGATTCTTCTGTACTTGATCTAATTTTTTTCTTAATCAGGGAGCAAGCCAAGAAAAAACTGATATTTTTTTCTTTTTTTTTGTGGGTTTAATTTGTTCAATTACTATTTTTATATAACTTTTAAAGTATATTAATCTATTTACATCAAAGGCAAAAGTTTATTGCCACATATTTAAAAAAAAAAATTGTAATTTTTCATAAGCAATCATTTATATATATATATATATATATATATATATATATATATATATATATATATATATATATATATATATATATATATATATATATATATATACACAAAAACACTCACATTGATGTTGACATGTGATGTTATGCTGAAATAGCCATCTGTGAGTGTTTCAGCAGATAGATCAACTGAGCATTTGGGTTTCAGCAAGCAATACCTTCTTGCTTGCACAAACATTTATTATGGAAAAGATTTTTTTATGTATTTTATTTCATTATTACTTTTTTTTTTAGTTGCATGTTTCTTGTTTAACGATTTTTCCCCCCAACTAAACAAAATATGGGTCATAATTAAATAAAAGCATAATTTGACGACGTTGCAGAAAATTATGCTTTTGCTGTCCAAGGTCAAATACTGAGCTATCACTGGAACACCCAACAATATTTTTAACATCTATTATGATAAAATAATAATAGGCAATAAACGTGTAATAAAACATTTTTCTTATTGTTTATATCAACCCACATGCACAGTGTTATATTAAATAAATTCATTCAATATATTTTACTTGTAAAAAATAAATATCAATAATAACAAACCTCTTTCTCTTTACTACAAGCAAACTCATACTTTTTGTTAGAAAGTGCTTTTTCAACAAGTTGCTTTTGAAGACATTCCACTTTTGTTTCCAGGGCCTTTTTATATATTATTATATTTTAATTATTAGAAAATTTTTTAATTTTATCAAATGAATTAATTTTTATGATTTGAATACATAATTTCATTTCACAACTCAATTACATAAAGCTATTAAAATACTATTAAAGTATAAGCTCTATTATATAATTTATAAATTTATCAGAAAAAAACTTTATTGTTGAAATTATACTATTATGATAAACCATAAAAAAACAAACCAATAAATCCTGTTGGTGTTGTCGCTTAATTTCTTGAAACAAATCATCCTTACCACTACTCTCCATTACTGACATTGATTTTTGCTTTTTTATTTTCTTTAAAAAAATGATTTGACTTGTAATTTTAAAATTACAAAATTTTTACCTTAAAAAAACCTTAGAAAATAGGTAGGTTTTTTGATATCAAACTTTTTTTTTTTACCTTTTCTTGTTTGATTATTTGACTTTTCATTGATTGTATTGATTTCTCCTTATCACTGAGTTGCTTTTTTAATTCATCCACTTTTATGAGCAACTCCTAATGGAAAATATATATATATTTTTTGTAAAAAATATTTAAACTATCAATTATTTAAAATAATATATATATATATATATATATATATATATATATATATATATATATATATATATATATATATATATATATATATATATATTTATATATACAGCAATATGTTTATAGTTACATATTTGTATATTGCGCAATTTATTATCGTTTTTTATTATTCATAAGCAATTTATCAGCTATATTATGCCAGAACTTTCACCTAAAAAAAGAGGAATTATTGCTGCATTATATGAACAAGGTTTAGTTCAAAGAGAAATATTTGAAAAGCTTGGTTGTTCATTATCAACTGCAAGTAGAACTTTAAAAAGGCATAAAGAAGAGCCCCAATTAAATTTTACTTCAAAGATGAGATCAGGCAGGCCGAGAGCAACCACCTCAAGAACTTAAAAACTTATTGGCCGGATCAGCCATGCAAATCCACGGCTATCTGCACACGAGATTTCAAAAGAAAATTTTATTGAGAAAAAATTAAGTGACCGAACAGTTAGAAGAAGGCTTTTGGTTGATTTCAAAATGAAGGCATGCAAGCCAGCAAAAAAACTTTTTTTATCATTAAAAAACCTAAAATATCGAAAAACATTTTGTCAGCGCTACAAAAATTGGACTGGAGAAAATTGGTCTAAAGTTCTTTTTTCTGATGAAACATGTATTAAACAATTTAATGTTACAAACAACTTTGTAAGAAGACCAAAAAACTGTAGATATATGCCAAAATATACAGTTAGCAGTGTCAAGGCTCCTGTGCCTTGTATCATCTTTAAAATTGTTATAAACACTTATTTTATTGAAAAAAATAAAAGAATTTACTAATAAATTGTTTTTCACACAAATATATTGATTTCATAACATAAAATATGATGTTCCAGGACTTTTGGCCACCACTGTATATATTATATATATATATATATATATATATATATATATATATATATATATATATATATATATATATATATATATATATATATATATATATATATATATATATATATACATATATATATATATATATATATATATATATATATATATATATATATATATATATATATATATATATATATGTATATATATTATATATATATATATTATATATATATATATACATATATATTATATATATATATATATTATATATATATATATATACATATACATATATATATATATACATATACATATACATATATATATATATATATATATGTATATATATATATATATATATATATATATATATATATATATATATATATATATATATATATATATATATATATATAATTTAACTTTATTTTTAAAATATGTGACACATCAATTAAAAAGAAAATTTACATTTTTGGTTTTTTCAAGATCATCCTTTTGTTCTATATCTCTTTTTCTCTTTCTACTTTCATCTTCTAATTGATCTTCTATCTCTCGAAATTCCTATATATACAACAACAACAACATATATACAACACCAACAACATATATACTACAACAATAATGTCTATACAACTCCAACCCTTGGATTTAGGAAAAATGAGGTCGGCAATAATTTACTGACCTCGATCTTTTTGAGGTCAGCATCTGGTTTTATGGTCAAATATTTTGTATCAAAAATTATTTGATACAAAATATCTGACCATAAAACATAGAAACGAGGTCGGAAATATTTTACAGACCTCAAACACTTTTAGGTTGGCAGTTAGGTCAGCATTGCCGAATACCGACCCTAATTCCGAGTGTTACAACACCAATAACATATATACTACAACAATAACATATATACTACAACAATAACATATATACTACAACAATAACATATACACTACAACAATAACATATACTACAGCAATAATAAATATAATAATAAAAACTTACTACTTTTGTTGAATAAAAGAAAGCAAAAAAATAAAAAATAAAAAAATAAAAAAGTGAATAATTAAATAAGAATACAATAAAAAAACATTTTTTTGTGCAAATTGATTTTTTAAAAAAAAATCAATCATGAAAGAATTGGTGCGCTAACAAATTTTATTTTTTCTCACAGAAAATTTTTATAAAGAGAAAATATTTTTTTAAATCTATTTCCAGTCAAGATACATGAACTTCATATAACTTTTATAAAATACTAAACTAAACAACATAAGTTGCATTGAGTAAGAATTTACAACAACATAAGTTGCATTGAGTAAGAATTTACAACAACATAAGCTGCATTGAGAAGTAAGAATGCAAAACTAAACATAACATAAATACAGTTATATAAAAAAAAACTTACTCTCTCTTTCTTTTGAATGGAGTACTCAAGCTCAAGGATTTTTGAATCTTTCTCAATATTGCTGTGTTCTAATACTTCATTTTGTGAGACAATATCCTAAATATGTAAGAACTACTTTAAGCTATAGAAATATTCATTGTTTTGAATGATTTTGTAAACAAAATAAATTTTTATTTTACAATTTTACATTTTCTTCATTCAAGTAAAATTAAACTTAAATGAAGAAAATGCAAATTGAAGAAATCATGGTTCATGTCATTATAAAATTTGTTAATTTTAAAATGACAACAATAGAATAATAAATAATAGGTACTATAGGGTTGGTAATATTAAAGAATGCACAAAAACCTTTTGTAGTATTTTTTTAGATAAGTTTTATAGAAAGGTTTTTACTATTTTAGATAAATAATATCTGTATATAGCGCAACAATATCTACGCAACTATAGCGCAACTGATTATTATTCAAAGATTATTTTCAGCCCTAATTTATCTTGTAATTACTAATTTAAATACGAAATACGCTTAAATATTGGTTACTCTTGAGGAAAGTTTTAAAAAAAAAGAATAATATTTAAAATATTATTATTTAACATTTCAATAATTAATATAATTAATTATTTTATTTAAATTAATAATAATTATAATAATTGATCAAAATTAATTAATTTATCTTATTTTTAAATATATTTTTAATAATCTGTATTATAAATATGTATTACAAGGGCAAATTTAACTTTAATTTATGTAATAAATTAAAAAACAAATTAGATATTTAGAAACTAAATGTTGTATATTTCAAACATTTTTGTTTAAGTTTGAATATTCAAAAAGTTCAAAAAATTGTAAGCACATTTGAAACAGCTTGTATCTTTTCTTAAGACTTTAGGAAATTTTTAAAATAAAAATACTAGTAAAATACTTAAAATAAGTTTCTTTAACATTTGTACTTACCTCAAACTCCATACTTTTGTCATTTTGTGTAAGAAGGTACTGTGAGTATTTATATTCTGCTTCTGCTAACTTTTCCTCTAGAACTTTTATAGTTTTTTGATGCTCCTAAATGAATCAGGATTACAAAAAAAGTTTAAAAAATATAATTCTAGACACTCGGTAGTAATTTATTTTGAAATTCAAAAAAAAAAAAATTATGTAAAGTTCCCTTGAGATAGAGTCATAATAACAAATACCTGAAAAAAAAATTGAAATTATTAAAATCTTTTAAAAATTCAATAACATTCACTATGGTAATTGATATTGAACAAAATAAACCATTATAAAATATAATCAAAAATTAAATTAATATTATTTTTTATTTTATTTATATTATAATATTTAAATTAAAAAAAAAAGTTGTACGTTTAAAACTATGTTTACACATTAGCATTAATGTTTTTTTTCCATTATTAAATGCCTTTCATTGTTGTTAGCATATTTTTTATTTTGTGATCGGTTTTTCATTTTATAAGATTTTGTGTGGTGATCTATATCTTCATTCATATTGGTGTTTATAAACAATTTTTTTATTTTCTTTTTTTATTACTTTTATTTTTTTTTTTCTTTTTTTCTTTTTGTTGTTGTTATTATTGTTGTGGGTGTATAGCCTGTCTTATTTATCTTTAAATATTCCTCTATTAATCTTTATTTTTGTCTTGAAAACTGTTAAAATATGCTTTGTCTAATAAATAATTCTCCTTTATTCTAATGTACTTCATTTTTTCCCTCAGGCGTTCACTGCTCGTGTGTGACCATTCAGCAAATTTTATATGCCAAAGTTTTTAAATAATATTGGGCCTAGCCCATAAGGGTTAGTGTTATGGTCATCGAACACGACTATTTTCCTAATCGCAATTACTGTCACCGCGAAAGAGGATGTTTGTCTGTGGAAGATGCCTGGGCTAGCTTTTTTGTCCTAAGTCAGTTCTAAATCTATGCATAGGTGTTCAATCCATCATGGCTTTCTGGAGTATGGCTGGGCTGGCTTGGTTTAGTTCAGAGACAAATCTCTTATGCTGGTTACTAACAATACAAGACTCTACTGAACGACATAAACAGCACAGACTTACCCATTACACCTATACACCCTTATGCACATATAGCCTGTTTACATCGTTTGCATGCTTTTTGTTCTTTCATAGATAAACTATCTTTGTTTGAACTCATCCTTATTTAAACAATATTTTCTTTTAATAGATAATATGTGGTTGAAATGTTGATATAGATTTGTATGTTATCTATATGTGTTTATCATGTGTGATTGAGTTTTTCATTTAAGGATTCATATGTGTGTATATATATATATATATATATATATATATATATATATATATATATATATATATATATATATATATATATATATATATATATGTATATATATATATATGTATATATATATATATATATATATATATATATATATATATATGTATATATATATATATATATATATATATATATATATATATATATATATATATATATATATATATATATATATATATATATATATAAGAGCGATTCTTATAAACTAGCGGCTTTCGACATGTTTTTATGATGTATGTTTTTCCTTGTTATTTTGTTATGGTCTCAAAATTACATTTAATTCGTAACGTAGAGAAAACTTTACTTTTCGGAAATTTCGATTTAGATATGGTTTCAAAGTTACTTTTAATTCGAACCGTAGAGGAAATATTACTTTTCGGAAATTTTGATTTAGATGTGGTCTCAAAGTTTCTTTTAGTTCGGACCGTAGAGAAAACATCACTTTTAATAATTTTTTTCCCGCTTTGTACATCGTTTTTACATTATGACTTATATCGTTGTTATATTATCCACGGCTAGTTTTTTAACCACTCATTTAGCTTAAAATTATCTGGTTTTATTGCAATATTAAGTTAGTCTTGCTGCAGTGTTTGTTGATATATTATTTATCTCCTGATTTTCATATTATTACTGTTTGTTGCATTCATTGCTCAGCTTTGTTTTAATTTTCACATGCACATTTTTCATCTTTATTATTATTCAGAGAATATTTTTATATCCTTCATTAAATGTTTACATATATGCCACTTACATTTTTAAGGTTTTGCTATCATATATTATTCAATTATTGTTATGATTTTGGGTTTCGCGAACTGCTCATTTTCCTACACTCTTTATTGGTTGTCATATTTCAAATGAGGTATCTATGACAGTGTTAGAGTTTATTTAAGGCTATTGTTGTTTTGTTAATTAAAAAAAAAATTTTTTAATGAGGTATACTGTTTTCTGATTGATTATCTTAGGCTTGTTTATGCTAATTATACCTATTTGGTTTTATTTCTTAAAATAAATTTGTGAAATTTTTTTATGTTTCTATTAGAATTTTAATTTATTTTGTTTTCATGTTTTCTTTTGGTGGTGTGGTAAGTGTTTTATTTAATTATTTTTATTTTTGTTTGTTCAGTAAATCTACACTTTTTATATTATATCATCAAAAAAATATTGGTGCTTTACAAATTTGGGGTTGGTTGGGTTTTGGCTATTTGTAGTGAGTCCTTTAATCCATCTCTTCAGAGTCCATCTCCTCAGAGTCGCGTCTATTATTACTGGCGAAACGCCAGTAATAATAGACGCAACTCTGAGGAGATGTTTATTACTTAATCACTACACAAATTATGTTTACACATTAGCATTAATGTTTTTTTTCCATTATTAAATGCTTTTCATTGTTGTTAGCATATTTTTTATTTTGTAATCGGTTTTTTATTTTATAAGATTTTGTGTGGTGATGTATATCTTGGTTCATATTGGTGTCTATAAAACAATTTTTTTTTTTTCTTTTTTTATTATTATTATTTTTTTATTTTTGTTGTTGTTATTATTGTTGTGGGTGTATAGCCTGTCTTATTTATCTTTAAATATTCCTCTATTAATCTTTATTTTTGTCTTGACAACTGTCAAAATATGCTTTGTCTAATAAATAATTCTCCTTTATTCTAATGTACTTCATTTTTTCCCTCAGTTTCCTTCGTTCACTGCTCGTGTGTGACCATTCTGCGAATTTTATATGCCAAAGTATTACAACTTTTTATATTTTATATAAAAAGTTGTAAGTTTAAAACTATTTTTTATTTAATGACAATAATAATAAGAAATTAATGATTAAATAAATAAAACTATATACTGTTTGTGTGAGAATACTACGTGAAAATACATCTTTTGACATCTAGTTAAAGGAATTATGCAGTTAATTACTGAATATAGAAACTTAAACTTATACTATTTATACCTATGGATGAAACCATTGCAGATACTAATGCTAATTCTTTACCTAATTAACCAAAATAATTTAATCAGATGGCTAGAACATTTTTACATAAAACACAAAGACTCTCAAAAAAACGCTTATTACCAAATTAATAATGAAGAACAAGTGTTACAATTACTGAACCCATAATAAAGAACAAGTGTTACAATTACTGAACCCATAATGAAGAACAAGTGTTACAACTATAAGTCAAACAGTCATAGTGATTGTCTACTGAGGATAGAACAGGAAGACCAAACTAGGGATAGTAATAATGTTAACAAACCATAATTTTTTTATCATTTGGACCCTCAATTAACAAAAAAAAATTATAAAAGAAAACTAGCTTGTAAAACCTTCTCAACCTAAACCTGCCATTGAAATTATAAAATGCAGTAGAGAGCTTAACATATACAAACATATAAAAGTATACAAACTTTTTTTCATAAAACTTCTTTTTTTTAAATATTAATTGAAAGCAGATATAAACTGTAAGTTTAAATCTACCTTTCAGTTAATATTTAAAAAAATTATTTTTCACATTTCTACTTTATTGGAACACCTCTTTTAATATGCTTTTTTATGACTTTATGTGCTCACTTTATAAATAAAATGTTTCAAAATCAATTCCTGCCATGGAATTTACTTGTTTTACCATGCAGCTATGACAGATGCATGGCAAGGGTCACATTTTAGAGTTCAAGAATAGTTGAGCAAGGGTTGTAACACATGCTACAACATTGGTAAGACTGGAGAATAGTTGAGAATATTATTTAATTGTAACAACAATTTAAAAAAAAAGCCTTCTTGTAGTTGTAGTGGCCCAAACCACCTTGAGGAGATGAACAAAGTAAAAAAGTTAAGCCTCGTTTTTAAATTACAAAATCTCATATTTTATCTCAGAAAATCATTTAAAAAAAAATCTTTATTAGTGTTATTAACAAAGGTCATTTATGGTCATATTCTCTTATTCATGCATTGATCTTATAATAAAATTTCATCATATTCTGATCTTATAAGTTCTTCCAAGCGAAGAATTGTATTGACTGGTACACCTTTAAAGAACAACTTACCTGAGTGTACTTTATTTAATTTATTTTTATTTTTTTCAATTGTTTTATATTTGAGTTTTATGATCAAAATTATATTGCTATTATTGTTGAAAAAAAAAGTGCAAATTATAAAAATAAATCTTTTAAAAAGCTGCTGCTGAGATTAACTCAGAAAAACATGGATAATAAACTACTGCCTATTTTACAATTATATTTCAAATTATTTTCATTTTTACCCAAGTAAAGTAAAGAAGTTCTATTCATGCTTCTGATTTTATAAGCTCTTCCAAGAAAAACAGAGTTTTTTGCATTTAGAGGAAAAAGGTCTTTACTGTTTGCAAAGAACTCTAATTCATCTCTCAAGTCTTGATATCGCATAAATTTTTAGCACATGTTCACTTATCAATAATTCCCTGAGAATACAATAGTTTATTTTAAAAGATTATAATATGCATCAGAAATTGATTTTGGTTGGAAATAATAATATATCAAAATTTGCTAAAAAAATAAATCTGCAGAGAAAACAAGAAAAAAATATCGGTTCAGCTGGGAAATCCTTTAAAAACTGTTCAACATGTTGTAAGAATGTATGATGACAACAAAACTATTGAAAGAAAATTTGAAAGCAGGTAAAAAATAAATTTGTATCAAAAAAATTTATGAAAGAATTAAGAAATCTAAAGGTTATAGATCCTATAAAATGGAAAAAATCCCAAGACTCAAAGAAAAACAGAAATTATTAGAAATATAAGCAATTTGTGTTTGAAGCTGCTTTATAAACTGTTGATGAAAGAAAAAATATGCATTTTAATGGACAACATACCTTACTGCACTAGTTTTTTTAAAGGATTATCTGGACATCATTTCTATTCAAAATTTAAAACATTGGGTCTTGAAAAACCTGAGTAAAAATACCTTGTTTTCCAAGCTATTTGGGGCTGTGGTTAACAAAGTACATCTTTTTTAAATACAGGCACTGTAAAATACAAAAATTAACATCAAAGGCTGCTTGCAAAAGAGACTTTCCTTTTTTTTAGATCTCATAGACAAAAACTTTAATTTGGCTGATTCTAGCAACTTGCAAAAAGATATAACTTTATAATACCAACAATTATGTCAATTTTGTGTCGAAAGACATAAATCCACCAAACTGCCCAGAATATGCCCAACCAAACAATTTTGGACATTGTCAAAAAGATATTGTGAAAAACATCGCAAGAAGTCAAAAGCATTGATAATTTCAAAAAATAAAAAATAAAAAATTAGGGCTGTGAAAAATAAAAAAAAACAAAACCCAATTTAAAAAAA